TCTTGTGACTTATAACCATATATAGCGCCAATGTTGCACGATACCCCCCAATCTAGCCAGATACACTAAGATTGAAATACACCAAATCATGAACCTCAGGAACCTCTGCCTCACTATCTACTTTCAGTTTGCTGGACAAATATGGTAGCGTAAGTATCTGGTGTGTAAAGAACATTTTTGTCATAATAAAAAAACGGAACAGTGAGGGAAGCCACATGAAGCAATCAACTTCTTCAAAGGAATAAAATTCACAAGGAAAGAAGAAAATAACAACATCCATGAGGACCTCATGCCCCTTGTTGTTGGGGGCAATATGCTAACTCTGTAAACCGCTTAGAGAGGGCTGAAAGCCCTATGAAGCGGTATATAAGTCTAACTGCTATTGCTATTTGCTCAGCTTTGGAAAGATCCTATCCACAAATGGTTAACAAAAACAGAACTGGCAACGGATCTCATGATAGAAAAATAATCACTGAAGAAATTTATAATTGGAAGCCCCTTTTGTAAATCAAATTTTGACATACGGATATGTTGATTGTTAAAACTTAAAAAGGGGGAAAGAATTACTATTTTCCTTTCTCCTTTAGGGGGAAATGGAAATTTTATTATAACCTTAAAAATTAAGAGTCAATTTTAAGCATCCTTTCTATCCCTGGAAGAAGTCCGAAGAAGTTCTTTGTATATTGGTGTTTTCTTTTCTTTTTTAATACCTTTTTCACACTATATCTATTCTCTCTTTACTCTTATAGTTTCTATTGTTTGTTTTTACACATATATTTAATAATTTAATATATGTAATAAAATTATTTGACAAGAAAATGTAGCTTGAAAAGTTACTTGCTTTTGTAATAGATATAAAAGAGTAAAGAAAAATTGTGAGGAAAAGATGTTCTTTATTGTATCAAAAGTTCCAATGCATTTCCAAGGAGCCATCTTTCATTAAGAAATCAAATGAACTGGAGAGCTTGTAAAAAGTGGATACTCATTTCCTCCTAATTTTATTTTGTGGCTATTTCCATAAATAGATCAGCCAAAACAGAACTCATCAGAGTTCTGAAGGGGTATTTTAGAAAATGCTTTATTTATACCTCACCAAGACATTGATTGCACCTCTTACTCAAGGAGGGAAACATTCCACAAAAACGTTCAGTTCAACCATAAAAAAATGTATTTCAAACTGGACATGAGAACATGAGAATCCAGATTTTCTGGATGTGCAGGATATTTTCTATGTTCCTTCAGGTCATGTTTCTGGCATAAGTGGTTTGTCCTTGCCTGCTTCTTCTGGCAGTTTTCAAGGTCACCCAGGTGGCTTTGGGCCAGCAAAGAAGCAGAATTCTGGGTTTGTAGCCTGGTGCCTTAACACCACACCCAACTGACCCTCTAGATAGAGAAGGCGGAAGAAATCTCTCCGCAGGCAGAAAACCAGAAAAGAGCTACTTCCTGATTCTCTTTAAAATGTTGAAAGCCATTTTGCAACAGGTAGTGGAAACTCTACCCAAAACCACCAAAACTAGTTCAATGAACAGGCTAACGTTTCAAGAGGAATGCAAGAGCCATTTACTGCAAACTGACCACACAGAGAGGAAAGCAAAAGCGTTGCTTTGGGTGCTTATTTTGCTATCCCAGTTATCATCAGAGCTGCTGGGAGTCCAAGGACATCAGGTTTCTACAGAGCAACCGAGGAAGCAGCTTCACACATTCATGGAGGCCCATCGGCAGAAACAGCCCCCGATTCTCCCTTTGCACAATCCTCTCGACTTGCTGGGTTCGTGCAACGCACAAAGACAATCGGGGACTGACGCTAATCGAGTTGGACGGAGGGAGCCAAGGCAGCCGCGGGGCCTTCTCGGGGATGGTCCTGGGGGAGGCGCGGGTGCAGCTTCCACGGGGCTCTGCGGGCCCACCAAGGAACGACGGGCGGAGGCTCCCATCGCTGTCTGGGCCTGAATGGGTGCAAAGGAAACCCCCCACCACCGCCTGCCTGTTAGAAGCGGCCGAGCCCCAGCCACGCACAGAGGCCCCTGCGGGAGGAAGGGCCCGAGCAGAAGCGGCGGCCACGCAGGGCGCCCTTCCCGGGGTTCCCTCTGGAGAGGCCCCCGCAGCGTCTCTCCCCACTGCGGAGCAGAGCCGACCCTTCGCCCCCGAGCCCTTCCGGCCCCTTTCCCTGGAAAGCCCCCACCCACCCAGGCCGCCTTTCCAGTGCCTTCTGCGGCGCCTGGGCTCGGTCCTCCGCGCCACGGGCCTCCAGGCCGCCCGCCTTCCCTCCCCTCAGCCCCGGGGGACCTATCCCCAAAGCTTCCCCGCTTTGCAGCCGCCACCGCCCCTGGGTCAGCCCGGGGAGGGGGAGGCCAGTGGGGGAGGAGGCCGGAGCGGCGGGGGGCGCCCACCTGAACTTGTGGAAGCGCTCGGGGTCGGCCTCGAAGAGCTTCCGCAGCACCAGCTGCCCGGCGTGGGCCCGCTGCCATTCGGCCAGCCGCTGGAAGCAAGGATCTGCGGAGAGCGCCATGATGTGTCGGGGAGCGCAGGAGGGGGGGGAAAGGAGGGCACGGGCGCTTTTGACCGGAGTCTAAGCTCCGCCCCCTCTCTTTTGCCACGCCCCTCGCGACGCCTCTCCGGGGACGCTGCTGCTGCTGCCTCTAATGCGCGAGGAGGAGGAGGGAGCCGCCCCGCCTTCGCCCCGCCCACCGGACCCCCCCCGCGGCGGCTTTTTAGGGTCACGTGAGGCCTCTGGCCCAATCCGGGTCGCCCTTTGGTCGGAACGGACGCTCCTGACTCGGCTTCGCGTGTCGTGTGGATCCCCCATGGCGGTTTGCTCGATTAAAGCTTAATGTAGGGGTGTCTAAACTTGGGAACTTAAAGACGCGTGGCTGGCTGGGGAATTCTGGGAGTTGAAGTCCACAAGTCTTAAAGTTCTCAAGTTTGGGCAGCCCTGGCTTAATGGGAAGAAGAGCTGGCGAGTTTCCGTTCCGTCTGAGGGAAAGTGAGCCGATTGTCCTGACAGGAAAAGATGCCGCCTGTCTCTCTAATCCCCAAACGGGGCTGGAGCCTCAGATTGGAATGGAGGAAGGTCTCTGCCAGGCTAGGAACCGGCCTTGGCCACAACTGGCTGCCATAACAAGCGGTGTAAGGAACAAAAATCCCAGCTCCAAGCCGAGAATGAGATGGAGGCTGATGGGAAAGAAGCAGAAGCACCAGCAGCAGCCTCTGATTCTAGCCCAGCTAGGCAAATAGCAATAGCAGTTAGACTTATATACCGCTTCATAGGGCTTTCAGCCCTCTCTAAGCGGTTTACAGAGTCAGCATATCGCCCCCAACAACAATCCGGGTCCCCATGGCTGAATGAGTGGATGGATCTTTATAGTTTCTGTAACCTTGCTGTTTGGGATTTGTGCAACATGGGCTTTGTGTTCTGAGAGGGTGTTGGGTAGTTCTTAACTGTGGTTGACGGCTATGATCTGTGTTAGATTTTTGGGTGAGGGGCCGCTTGGTCTAATCCGATCACTCTGCTTTTTTTAGCAGTTAAACTTTGCCCTAAGGGGTTTCAAAATATCCTGTCTTAAATGGACTTCTGCCGGCAGTATTTGCTTTGCTTGTGAATGGAGCCATCTTGACAGCTGGTTTCCTCATCCAATAAGCTTGTTTGGCATCTGCAGTTAGCTTCTTCTTACAATGTTTCCTTTAGGTATCTGGATGGATTGTGGAATGGTCTTCAGGCAGTGTTTTTTATTAGTGAATTGGTCTTTTGGCTTTTCTGAGGCTTTTCCCTATGGCTAATATTTTATTTGGGATGGAAGGTTTGATTTCTTCTTACAGTAGTTACCGTACTCTAGAGACAACCCCTAAGAACTAGGACCAAAAAAGGTAATTTGTATATAAGAGCAAGGGATGGTAGAATTAGAGAAGTGGGAGATGTAATCAGGAGCAGAGATAATGTATTCACTTTAGACGCTTTGGATAGGTTGTGACGGCCTGGGTACTCAGCCAGTGAGGAAAAGGTGGGAGGTAATTTGGGGAATACACCCTGTTTCCCTGAAAATAAGACTTCCCTGGATAATAAGCCCAATCAGGCTTTTTCGCGCATGCACTAAAATAAGCCCTCTCCCCAAAGTAAGCCCTTGCTGAAAATATTGCAACACAGCATTAGCCATGAGATGACCACGGTCGCTGCCTCCTGCACCTCAAAAATAATAAGAGCTCCCAAAAAATAAGACTAAGCATTCATTTCGGGGGTCAAATTAGGGTAGGAGGCAATAAGGAATATAAGGGAAACCTATTGATGATCCAGTGTGTGTGTGCCCGTGCGCACGCGCACGTGGGGCACCCTCTTTGCAAAATAGTAAATAAGATTACCATTGTTTTCTCTTGAGAGTTTTGGCTGGTGTTTGTTTACTTCAAAACTAGACAATGAAGCCCACAATTCTGTTGTACCATCTGGCCTGCTACCATCCGAAGGAGAAGTCGGCTTGGCAGTCTTTCAAATCTCCCTCAGCCAATTTGGAAGGAAAAGGGAGAAGGAGTCCTGGGTGCTCTCTGAGCTTGGTTGTTTTCTTGCAGATGTAACATTGTTGGTGCTAGTAGAAGTGGATTTGCTCTCAGTTCATCTTGTATAGAAGAGACTTTGGAGGTCTTCTAGTCCAGTCCCCCCTGCTCAAGCAGGAGACCCTATACCATTTCAGACAAGTGACTGTCCAGTCTCTTCTTAAAAGCCTCCAGTGCTGGAGCGCCCACGATTTCTGAAGGCAACTTCTGTTCCCCTGGTTAATTGTCCTCACTGTTAGGAAGTTTCTCCTTAATTCTAGTTGTTTCTCTCCTTG